AGAGAGAGAGAGAGAGAGAGAGAGAGAGAGAGAGAGAGAGAGAGAGAGAGAGAGAGAGAGAGAGAGAGAGAGAGAGAGAGAGCTTGATGCATGGGTTGGTGTAGGTTTCTCCCTGCCTTGTGGAACTCAACATCAAGCCTGAAGACTAATCGAAGGTCTGTGGAGAAGAAAGGCTGAAAGGGGTGGAATGAGATGTCCATGAAATGCATTGTAGAGAATGCCTTCATGGGAATATGCCCAACCTGCTTGGTTGTTGTCACGCTGTTGAGCTTTTGATTCTTGTGTCCAAGACAGCCCCCCCCCCCCCCCCCCCCCCCCCCCCCCCCCCCCCCCCCCCCCCCCCCCCCCCCTCCCTCACTCTCCTTCTCTGCCTCCTCCTTGCAATAAGAAAACTAAAGTAGGAAATCCCGTCTGTTCAATCTCAGGGGATTTCCCTTTCCATTTCTGGCATTCTGCTTCATCTGCGGGTTTCATTGTTGACATCAGTCAATCCATAATTACCTATGACGTAGAATGGACGCAGTAATGGCATCACCATGCTATGACCGGACTTGAACCGGAGGCCTTTCCTGTACCAAGGGACTGCTCTACCTCCTGAGCTACGTGGGCTCATGGGAAAAATTGTTTGCAGACAATCGGACTTGAATAGGCAACTTCGTTCTCGTTAAAGTAACTACGTAGCTCAGGAGGTAGAGCATTCCCTTGGTAAAGGAAAGGGGTTTTGCGAGTATGAAGTCGTTCTACCACTTGGACTTGGACGACGCCTCCGTTCCGAACCGTTCCGAAACATTGGATATATCGTTATCAGATTTTGGATATGTTATCTTGATGGGCAGTCGACCCACCCTCTTGGCCTGAATAAAAAGCAGGGGGTGGTGTCGTTATGGTTATGGGTGTTTTGGGGGCCAGTGTTCAGCCCAACTCAGGCATGAGCACCCTGTGTATTTACGCATTGGCTGTTTTTTGCCCAAATTTCAGGCCGGATGCGGACAAACATGATCGCCTATTTTTTCTCTTCTTTGGGGGAAGATGTGGGTTGTCATCGTGGCTGTTTTTTAACCCAATTTCCTGGCCGGAGATGGGCAGACATGATTACCCCGTATGTGTGTGTACATATGCGGAGGAAGATGAGAATACTGACAGTAATTGTGGTCCGATACGTCCAGGAAATCGCCCTGACTTTCACCGTGTTAATAAATTGCCCTCCATCCTCCCCCTCTGGCGCTCTTCAAAATCATTTTGAACGAAACGGTGCACATCAGGAAGAAATGGCGGCCACAGAACGCACATTTGAGTCGCTCCTTGATGAAAACCGAATAAAATTATTACATCTGTGGAGAATCCCTGTGAAATTGGACTTGACCCTTCTTGCACACGGCATGCATGCAAACAGATGACGACTTGGACTGGCGCAGTGCGCCCACACAAAGCGCAGAGAAAAGAACGTGGCCTGGAACACAGTTCAGATTCAACTTGTCTCGAATGGCTATGGCGCCCAGCGCCCACAAAGATTCCTTCGTTCAGGGAGTTGCTCCTTCATTTTCAGCCTGTGTGTAGTGTAAAATGAGACTCAATTTTTTTTTTTTTAAATGATACCAAAATCTGCCTTTCTTTATTAGGCTATATATGCCGCTATAAGCCTATAATATAATAATAAGCAGAAGGTACCCCCACCTGTAAGACCCCCCCTGTTCCCGTGTACTGATGACGCTGCCAGCGCTTCCCTGTCTGTTGCCAGGTCTCTCTTTTGAGTTCTGCAGACAGCCAGGCATGTGTACTATTTTGGTTTAGGGTTCAGGGAAAGTTGAGTTGACTGGATGTCGCCGGTATCACCCTGACATGGGACAATGTGTCTTGTTCAATTGACAGGGTCCCTGCTTTCTAGCCCAAAAAATCTGCACGTCCGTCTCCACGTCCATGTCCACGTCGACCGGCATCTCCTTGTTGTCCACTAAGTTTCTTTGTTTGCTTAGGATATTAAGTTGCTTTGTTTGTTTACCCTGTACCTAGCTTGTTCTGCTTGTGTGTATGGTTTGGTTTCCATCTCATGTCTTCTTGGAGAAACTACCGGCACTGGGTCCGGTCGGTTTCAAATCTGTCATCTCTCTAGGGTAGATATTAGGGAAAACTGCATCTGTACCCTACTTAAAGATGGGAATACCCGCTATACCCAGTCCCACTCCATTTCCACCTCCCATCTCCACCACCACGTCCACCTCCATCTCCATCTCCATCTCCATCTCCATCTCCATCTCCATCTCCATCTTCATGTCCACCTCCACTTGCATCTCCACATCTTATCTTCCACAAGCCTTCTCCTTTGAAACAATTGATAGATGTGCATGTGCTCACTGATGCCTCCAACAGGTAACAGTGTGCAGACCCATTGCAACAGCTACCGCACGGTGCTGAAAATGCGGAGTGGGATTTGCACGCTAGTGCAGAGGAGGAGGAGGAGGAGGAGGAGGAGGAGGAGGAACACATCTTTATCCCTGAGGATCTCAGCTTTCGGAATGACACCCATGGGTCCCCAAGTTGTCACTGATGTGCCCCCCCATTTGCGGGGATTGCTTTGTTTTCCAGGCTGGTGCTGTTTACTGCTTCACCAGAGGGAAGTCGGCATGTCGAAGCCCTGATGAGGGATCTGAAGAAGGATGAGAAAGTGGGGGAGACATTGTTGATGGCCAAGGTAGGTGTAACTTTTTTTCACCTGATCCATGTTCCCTTGTTTGTTTCAACTTGTTATCCTTTTTATTAAAACCTTTGATCCTTGCCCCTCCTTCATTCAGATCGTTTGATTGACAATCGCCATTTCTGTTGAGCAGAGGAGTGAGGGAGTTGAACGAGCCAGCACCCATCTACGAGAGGACATGATGGACCGACGATGACATTATCGACCGTAGGCAGGTGCGCGAAACAAGACCGGATGGCGAGGGTGGTGTGAGGCACGAAAATTTGGTGACCTCCACCCCCCCAAGGCCACTGTCACCCCCCCCACCATTGCAGTTGCCAACGTCTGCCGACTGTTGCGCTTGTGGCTAATTAGTGTCCTATCATAATGCTTGATGGGACTCTCATCATGAAAATGTACATACAAGCTATGTATCTTTCCAGCTCAGTAGAGGCATGCCGAGGTTGTGCTGTGTTCCAGCAAGGTGGTAGTGATAGGGTTTATAATACTTCATAGCAGTCGTATTACATACTACTTAGGGCTTTGCTGCGCTACTCACCCGATAAATGGGACTCCCCTTGCCACAATCTCGGTGGCGAGGGGTGGGATCGGCAGGACCACATTGGGCACTGTGGTGGTGACTCTGGGCCCAAGCTGGGGGTGGGTATCCGCTGTGGTGGGGTGGCGGGGAGGGTGGTGGTGGCGGGCCATGGGAGCGCCCCTACAGTTGTGTTATCTTCGGGATTTCACCCCCTCTTTGTTCACCAAGCGTTGTATCTGTCCTGCCTACTGTTAGCCTGATGATTGAGTGTGCATCATTCAGCTCGCCGGCTGGTGATGCAGGCAGTCGAGTAACTGCTCGGGGCTGGCCTCTCAGCTGCACCTTCGTGTGTGTGTCATCTGTCACATGGACTTTGCAGGTGGATGTTGCCAAGAACTTGGCCACGCAGAAGCGTTTTGGCGTCAGTGAGAACTTCAAGGTGATCCTGTTTCGCGATCGAAAAATGTTTATTTATGAAGACGATCTGACGCTGGAATCTCTCCGGAAGTTTGTGACGGTAAGAAACCTGGATGTCTTTCGGCTTCAAAGTCTAATCCTGGATGTCTTTCAGCTTCCAAGTCTAAACCTGGATGGTCTTCGAAATGTGCATGCCCCTTGAATTGTGTAAAAGAGTTGTTGGCTGCCCACTAAGTGACCATCTATTTTCCCAGTTGAAGTTTTCTTAATCGCTGATAGGAATCTAGGACCTATTTTCATCGAAAAGACCAAAACCGCATTTTCAAGACTATATGAAAACCCAAGGTTTTGGGGGTGAAAGAGATTTTTTGCTGGGAAAAAAAAAAACTTTGCTGAAAAGAATTTCTTTGCTGACAAAAAAGAAGAAGAAAAAGAAGAAAGACCAATCTTGTGAAACCCCTGCTCACCGTATTTTAGGACTAAGCTGCACTGTTTCTAGTTCAAAAAGGAAGGGAAGGGGGGAAGTGGGGGGGAAGGAGGGGGGAGCATTTATAATGGACCTGACTTGAGAAGCTCACACCATTGTCATCCTGCACAATGCTCGCAATGCTTGATGGATGGCACCAGACAAGAGATAGGAGCATGGTCGCTCGATACAGGACCTCAGTCCACCACTCAACATTGAATGAGTATCTGGACTGCAACACAGACCAGATACGTTTGGACTGATCAAACATTTTGAATGTATTGAACCTAGATACATTTGGTATGCTGTGTAGTGGAGCGAGGCCCATAATAGACGGAACGAAAAGAACAGTAGGAAAAAAAAGAATAACCCAAGATAATGATATCAATCATCACAGTATTCTGGTCTATTCTCTCCCTCTTCTACCACCGGGCTCTTCTTCCTCTAATTGCCACCTCAATCGTCACCATCCTAGTGAAGTGATGAAGCCGTTCTTGCCACACTCGACACCTTGCAAATGCACAGAGTCGCTCTCCATGTCAATGTCTCTTTGGTCCGGCTGCTGAAAGCCTCCACAATGAAGACAACAGCACTGGACGAGCCGACAATTGCCGGCCTTCTAAAGCAAAGCCACCTCTCTCTTCACACGGTCAGACAACGAAATCAGTCCAGGTGAGCCTCTCTCTTGCGCCTCTCTTCACTGTTAAGCTAGGGTGCAAGTACACCTCCTCCTCTGGCTATGGCTACAGATCTCTCTCTCTCTCTCTCTCTCTCTCTCTCTCTCTCTCTCTCTCTCTCTCTCTCTCTC